ACCAGAGATTCTGGCTCTGCAAAGAGACTTGGTGAGGCGATTTCAGAACACTGCTGATGTCAAGCACTGCTCGATCAGAGACTTCCTCAACGAACCCCTCTCAGGTGAGAAGACTGTGCCAAACCTGTAATTAGTGAAACAAAAAGCACTGGATAGTCCAGTTGAAAATGAAAGTGAAAACTTCTCTTGAGCTTGCAATCTTAAGCCCCCCTATTCTCCTTTTAACTCCCATCCAAATGAATTGGAGACCTTAACCCTGGAGTTATGCTTGGAAAAATCATCAGATGGCTTTAAAGATAGTTAAGCACAGGAAGATTGCTCACAAGGGGTGGGGACTCTGCTCAGAGATAGGCAAGATAAATCCCTGAATGCAGCAGTGGATATGTTGAATTTAAGTTTTTCCCTAGAGTAGGGCCTGCCTAAAAGGTGGAACAGATGTCCTTCCCTTCCATTCATAAGCAGCATACAGACATTTTGTGGCAACTCCTTCAATTGTACTTAAGTACAATTACTTGTTTTTAAGTACTTATGGAAAAGTACTTAAAGGTCATGCAGAATCAGACCAAGGATCCATCCAGCCTTGTAGCCTGGGCCAATAGCAGACAATAATGGAAGAATATAAACAGAGCGAATGACTCAATTTGATACCATTAGAAAACTGTTTAATGTCTATTTAGTCTCTCTTGATCTGTTTGAGCAGATGCCTAGAGTTCAGTGGTGTGCTTTGAAAATTCTTATATTATGGAGTTTCACGGTGTTGCCAGTAAAAAGTGTTTCAAGGATTCGTCTTTCTGTTATTCCTCAGATGTGATGAGGGACCTGTTACAGAGGAGAGTGAATGTGTTTCTGTCTGTTTGGAACAAGCTAAGAAGCTCGCTGGACACCAATGGTGAGTACCTTTCTTTCCCAGCAGTATTTTGAGAGTGATGAAAGCAAGAGCTTGCCAGCTGTCAGACAATGCTCCTCTACTACTTTGACAGTTAAAGTTCCTCCCATCAGTGATGCTGAGACATATCTTCAAAACTGACCTTGGCCATCGTCCTGGTTTTGGCTGGAATAGAGTTAATTTTCTTCCTAGTAGCTGGTATAGTGCGGTGCTTTGGATTTAGGATGAGAATAATGTTGATAAACACTGATGTTTTAGTTGTTGCTGAGCAGTGCTTACACTAAGTCAAGGACTTTTCAGCTTCTCATACTGCCCTGCCAGCGAGGAGGCTGGAGGTGCACAAGAAGCTGGGAGGGGACACAGCCAGGACAGCTGACCCCAACTGGCCAAAGGGATATTCCACACTACATGATGTCATGCTGAACAAAAAAAACCTGGGGGGAGTTGGCCGGGTGGGCGCGGCTGCTGCTCGGGAACTGGCTGGGCATCGGTCAGTGGGTGGTGAGCAATTGCATTGTGCACCACTTGTTTTGTATATTCTTTTATCATTATTATTATTTTCCCTTCCTTTTCTGTCCTATTAAATTGCCTTTATCTCAACCCAAGAGTTTTACCTTTTTTCCGATTCTCTCTCCCATCCCACTGTGGGGGAGTGAGCGAGCAAACGGCTGTGTGGCGTTTAGCTGCCTGCTGGGTTAAACCACAACAGCCATTAAAGGTTTAAGAAGATTTGGGTGCAAATGGAAGAATTTGTTTCCTTCTTGTAGTATTCTCACCTGAACTTGCTCCCTTTAGTGTTTACAAGTAATGGAAAGAGTACTGCTTTTTTCAGGTTCTATACTTTCTCCTGACCTGGGTCAGCTCAGGAGAGGCTTGCTCATCGGGCTGGCTCTGGGCCACCTCAGCCTTCTCTGCCTTTTATTTCAGGGGAGATTAAGCTTCCTAAAGGCTACTGTGATGCTGACCTAACTCTGGACAGCAAGCTTGAAGTCCTTCTGCCACGTCGACAGGGGCTGGGCCTCTGCTCCACAGCCTTAGCCAGCTACCTCATTAGTCTGCACAATGAATTTATCCACTTGGTGAACAAACATGTCAAGGAAGATGATAGGTATGTTGCTATTCCAGCTAGGCACTTCTTGGGCTCTGTTGTATTACCTGCTACCACACAATCAGCTTTCCCTGCTTCGTAAAGGCTTTTCACTCTAAATGGAGACTGTTTTCTCTTCTGCAGGTACTTGATCAGTCCGTCAGAAGTGGCTGACCTGCACTTGATCAGTTACGAGGTTGAGAGAGACCTGATTCCTCTGATCTTGTCCAACTGCCAGTACAGCATGGAGAAGGGAGGGGAGACATTGCAGGACTTTGATCTGGAGAGGATCCAGCAGCAAGTCATCAGCAAGTTCCTGCAGGGAAAACCACTCATCACCCTAACGGTAGGAGAAGGCAGCTAGCTATGTTTTCTGCAGACAGCTTCTTGGCTGACGAGCCCTGCAGTGTTTGCTGCAGCCAGGCATGCACTGTAGCAGGGTTAGCAATGTTACCAAAGCTTTACAACTGTGGGTTTCTCTCCTGACAGGGAATACCTACCCTCGTGTACAGGCATGATCGGAATTATGAGCAGCTGTTTAATGATGTCAGGAATAAGCTGGATCAGGTGGGTTTCTGCATTGGAGGAAACAGGGCAAAGCATGTGACCCCTGACATCCCAAGAAACGTCAGGCTTGTCTTCCGTCACTTGCCTTTTTCATCTGCTCTGAAGGCTTGTCCGCTAATCTCTTGGCATGCCTTGAATATGCGCAAACTGGCCGCCTTTTGTCAGTCAGGATTTACAAAGGAAAGGGATAAAGTTAAGCATTTTCAGTTTCCTAAATCTGGGGCTCTGCTATCTTCCATGACTTTAGCAACTTGAGCAGCAATAAGGAATGGCTCTAAACTAATATTAGCAACTGCTTTGCCTTCATGGTTTTCAGAGTGCTCTCCCCAGTTCTGTGATGAACATGATCAGTGGGGAACTACAGTCGTATAGTGATGTCTGTGATGCTCTGTCCATCATTGAAATTACCTTGGGATTCCTGGCCATGGCTGGAGAGAATGCTGAAATGCTTCTGACTGACTACATAGAAAAAGTTCTGCAGATGGGTGATCAGACAAACCCTCATGTACTGCAGGTGAGTCCTGAGAGCAAAGCTCTTATTCTTACAGGATATCTGCACTGGTTTATACTAAATCCAGGCAGCCTGATCTCCAAGCCCAGCAGAAGTTCAGCTTGAAAAGGTATGTGATAGAATTCCCTCCCCACCGTATTCAACAGCAGAGGGGAAACAATTTTCACTTCCCCTGCAACCAGTGTTTGCAAGGTGGGAGCATCTAATAGCTTGTGATGCTCAGCAGGTTCTTGCAAAACCCTACAGAAAGGTCAGGTGCGGGATGTGCAGGAGGTTGAACTCTTCTCTGCAGATCCAAGCTCTTCTGTCAGCACCAGGAAGGAGAATTCTCAGTGGAGTGTCAGCATAATTAAGTTGCAATGCTAAAACTGAGAAAAGGGACAACTTTCAATTAAGAGTCAGCTTTCAGTGACACTGGCTTGCCTGGTGCTGGGCAGGATTGAAAATATCCCTTTATCTCTCCAAAGTGGTGATAGGGGAAGGCTTTATCTCCTCATGATGTGTGAAGAGAGGCCCTTTACTGACAGGGGCCAATGGCACTATGTTATGACAAGTAAGTGTGACATAGCCCTATCACTTTCCCACTCCCTTTCATGATACCAAAAAGATGGATTATTGGAGGTAAAATGGGGACGAGGGAGAGAGAAGCCTATTGCAGATGGGCTTCTACACCCAGGTTGAAAGGGCTTGGTGAACTCCCTGCAGTTGTGCTCCTCTGCAGTTTTGACCTGCATGGGCAGGGCAGGGTGTGGACAGGTTCCTAAATACATCCCTTACATCCAGGTTCACTCCATGTATGTGTTTTTCTTTCAGGCCTTTAGACGATGCTACCTAAAGCACAACATAGCCCTATGGCAACTTCTCTCTACCCGCAAATCTGAGCAGCTTCTGCGCCTCAAAAGGGTAAGGTACACTCATGACTTCAGCATCTAATCAGCTGTTTCCTCTTTTCTAAATGAAGTTGCTCAAATATGTATGGTTGGTTGTGTTTTTTTTCCCCTCGCTGCATTTTTAGGATCCTTTTGTAGACATCAGTACAGTCTACAAAGCTGAGCTCAGTCCAGAGATTGCCAAGCTCCTCAACACATTCCTTGTCCACGCGAGGCTGGAAACCTTCCTGCAGGAGCTCCATGAAATGATCGTCCTGAAGCTGAGACGTGTCCAAGCTGTGGATGAATTCAGACCCACGTGGAGGTAACAGATTTATGCAGCCCAAACCAACCCACAGTTGTTGTTGTTACTAACTTAAGCTTCTCTGCCTCTGAAAATCCATGCGATGGCAACAGTTCTGTTGGCAAATGACTGCACTGCTGGACACAAAGCACAGCCATCAACATGAAGAATATGCAGCCAGTTCTAAGACTAACACTGCCTGTTTCTAGCATGTATGACTCTTCTTCATCTTACACAAGCTATTTTGGGAACACTGCTGGAATATACCAGGAGCATGAGCACTAAAGATAAACACAAGCACTTCTGCAGTCATTCAGATGAGCACACTCAGCTTTCCACACGCATGGCTTGGCCCCAACAGCTTGGTTCTAACCTGCAGCCTCCCATTTCTGGGTTCTTTAGCCTCTCTATAAATCTGACTGGCTGTTTAATCCTCCTCCTTACAAAATACACGTGTTAAAACTCTGTGTACTTAACGTTGGTGCATTCCTACCACACAATACTATGCAGCATTTGTAGTTTGCTGTACACCATCTATTAATACTACCTTTGCTCTTTGTTTTCCAGCCTGAAGGAATCGCTCATTCCTTACCTTGATGCAAAAGACTCTGAGTTAGCTACAGAGCTGGAAGAGATGTTCCCAGATGAGATTCTTCTCTCTCATGCTACCGCTACGTGGAAAGCAGCCGCTCTCTTCAAAAGAGAGTGTAGGGAGAGCTAGGAGCACTAGCACCGCTCGTTCTGTCTGACCTTCCTCATGCACAGGGAACAAACGCATGGTGTCAGTGAGATTCTGGAAGCTCAGGGGGGTGGTTTTTTGAGTTTGGGTTTTGGGTTTCTTCAGGTGTTTTGGTTTTGTTTTCTTTTTACTAACTGTGACGCAAAGATCAGATGCTTTCATGCATCAGAAGGATGGTGGAGAAACAGAAGGCTGCGTGTATAAGCAGAGACTTTTGAAGGCATCATAAAAGAAAACACAACCCCCCAACCAAAAAACCCCCAGCCACCTGATAAAAAAAAGGGTTCATCTGTAAAAAGCATCATTCCCTAGTGCTGGGGAAGGCTTGTTTTTTGGTTTTTTTTTTCCCCCCAATCTTCATTTCTCTTGACACTTAATTGCCACGGCGCCTTTTCAGCACTATTAAGAATTTGGGACCAAGTTGGAAAAACAAAAAACGCCGAAGGAAGCTGCTCCTTCACTG